TATTTGCATAACTTAATGGTTTGTACCTATAGTTTAACAGCATGTAAAGCAATACTTTTTTACCTTTCTCTAATTCATAAATACGATATTTTCTATGGGTAATTTTTAAAAATTCTGTATAAGTTGAACCTTCTATTATGCAGAAGACATCTAAAAATTTAAAACTAGAATTCTTTCAAGCTTTTTATACATTTGTAAAGTTACATTATGAATTGACTTTTTGGAATATTGTGAATTTTGTTATATGGCATTTAGACTTAGGGACATTATTAGGGGACCATTTAATCTTCCTGTTCATAATTTTGTTTATGCCGTTCTACTGATTTGGAAGTATTTTTAGTTTAGATTAACAGAATGAATTTTCAAACGCCGGCCCTAAAAGCAGATTTTTTTGTTTGCTTTATACATAAGCACATATAAAAATAGATAAATATATACATAGAAACATGCACACACACACATATATATACACACCCCCATATATCACTGTAAGACAGAAAAATACACTGATTTTTTTTTAGTTCTTATTTACTCAGTGTAAGCATGATCTGCTTATAAACAGTATAAACAGTCCAGCTCACAATTACTTCATAATAATCTACTCATCCTGCCCTTGCTTGTTGATCTTTACTTATCAAATTCTTATGTGTAGAGCCAGTACTTTTGAAGTTGTATTCTATAAAGTAGATGAATAGTATATCCTTTTTCTTTAGTTAGGTGGATAAAGGTATGTTTTAAATTACTGTACTAAAGGTGGGAAATAAAACATGGAAATATTTATGTCTCAAAATTCCATATCTTTTTCTTATACCAAGTTTATTAATTATCTGAGACAATTGGTAAATGTAAAAGATACTAAACATTTTTCTTAGGTAGCTGGTATATATCTTGGTCCGTCCATTTTGTGTTTGCAAGATACAGAATTTTACTCTTACTTAAATATACTCTCTTAAGTTCTCCTTTGTACCTCCATTCTAAGAAATGTGGAAAACTTAATCTCAATCAATTATAACCCCTCCAAAATTGCTTCTAAATTTCTAAGGCTTCTAATTGCTTCTAAAGCTTACAGAGTATATACACGTATGAGGTAAGGGGTTAGGGACATTTTTTCTGCATTGCCACAACTGAGATGCCCCAGTTCCCCATCAGATCTTTGGTCTTGGGTTCATATAGGTCTCTGCAGCATCCATCCTTGTTTCTAATTCAAATCCTGTCAGTTCTCTGGAATATGTCCATGTACTCTTGTACACACATAGGAGACATTCTTCTCACTTAAGCCACAGAGAACATTGTAAGGTTGTCTCAGAACTGGCCATGCAGACACACTATATGTGTACTTCTTCTACTCTTGTACCATATCAGATCTCGAGCCACTTGCCTTAACTCTATCTAAGAATGAAGATATAATTTTTTACAGCTGTTGGTCCCTAAAAGTTTTCCTGGAATTACACCATTCTCTATCTGTCCTTGCAGACACCCTTTTTATCCCTTTATGTCTCTGTCACTATTGTTCCAATCTCAGGGTATCATTCCTAATAATTGTGTGGTTACAAAGTGTGGAAGCTTTGCTTTTACCATATTTTCTTCTTATCCCATGGTTAAGGTTTTTAATTATTTTTTCCCTGTGACCTGGTATGTCACTCCTTCTCAATTCAGTGAACATAGAATGTTCTTCCTACCTGAATTGGGGGAAATTTTTAAATATAAATAAATATGGCCAGGCATAGAGGCTCACACCTGCAATCCTAGCACTCTGGGGGGCCAAGGCAGGGGGATCACTTATGGTCAGGAGTTCAATACCAGCCTGACCAAGAGCGAGACCCTATCTCTACAAAAAATAGAAAAATTGGCCAGGCGTGGTGGCACGTGCCTGTAGTTCCAGCTACTTGGGAGGCTGAGGCAGGAGGATTGCTTGAGCTCAGGAGTTTGAGGTTCCAGTGACCTATGATGATACCACTGCATTCTAGCTAGGGTGACATGGCAAGACTTTGTCTCAAAGAAAAAAAAAATGTGGGAGAAAGGGAAGGATATTTATCTGGTGTTGAAAAATATTATCTCCCTGGCTTATTTTTTATTTTGCCCATCTTCTGATGGCTTCAAAGCATTCTTAAGTAGAAAACTATTTGCAGTGGAAAAACTATGGAAATTCTTCTTACAATCTCTAAGATTTTGGGATTCAGATTTATGCTACTATTTCTAGAAGTATATTTGGAATCTTTACTACTTCCTTTGGAAAGCTGATGAGGGCACAGAGGATTCTTCTCCTCCTCCCTTTTCACTGTGGGAAATTCCAAACATGCACAAAACTAGAAAACAATAATATAATGAACCTCCATATACCTATCGGCAGCTTCAAAAATGATCAACTAATGACTAATCTGGTTTCATCTATATTCTTCTTCCCTACCTCCATCCCTGCCACTGAGTTATTTTGAAGCCAATGGCAGATATCATATTATCCCCATTTTGATGATGAATAAATAAGTGTCCAATCATTCCGGTGCCATTACTTAGTACAGAATTCAAAACTCCAACCACCCAGTGACTACTTATTGAGTACTTACTCTGTGACAGGTACTAGAATAGGCTCAGCATATATAGAAGGCAACATGAACTCTTGGAGAACTTCACATTAGGTACTAGTTAGTAATGCAATGGCATGGTTTCTCACTTCTGCTTAAAACTTTCCAATGCCTTTCCATCATATTACTTTAGCTTTATTACCAAAAAAAAAAAAAAAAGCCCTTAGTAATCGGCTTGTCTTGCCCCCTTTTGCCGGAATGACTCATCTTCTCACAACCTGCCTCACCCCACCCAGCCATAGTGGCCTCCTGTCTGTTACTGAAATATTTCCTTTCAGTTCCCACCTCAAAATCTTGTACTTGATATTCCCTTTGTAAGACTTTCCCCTCAGATATCTGCATAACCTCTTCCCTCACCTCTTTAAAATCTTCTCTGTCCTCATCTGCTCTCCAAAGCATGTTCT